TAATGTAGGTGGCAAAATCAAGTTATGCATGGTACATGTGGCAAAACCAAGTTATGCATTCTTTCTCCTTCTGCAAAGCTCTCTCACTCTCTCTCGGTTTGTCTTCTCTCTCCCTACCATTTTCTCTCATTTTGCAGCAAGCATTGTGCTAGAAACCAACCTCCTTCCATAGCCAAAAACCTTGAACACTCTCCCCTCCATTCTTTGAGCAAGATTTTCCTACTTTTCCTTCTACAAAACTTGAAATAGCAACCTCCATTGCACCAAGGAAACTCATTTCTTTTGCCCTTGCATGTTGAAAGGAGTGTGTTGATTGTTTTCTAAACATCCAAGCAAGGTAAAAACACTATTTCATCTTTCTTTCTCAATGTTTTCACCAATCAAAGAAAGGAGATGAAGATTTTGCACCTCCTCCATGAAAAAGCATGGATCTTTCTGCGTCCAGCCACTGAGTGAGTCAATTTTTACCATCTGAACGTATTTTGTTTGAGCTAACCTCTGCATATTTGGATTGTGCAGTGAAAGATCTTTCAAAAGCAATTGGTTTCACTCAAAACGGACACCAAAATCATAAGTTATAGTGAAAATGGTGAGATCACTCCTTGTTCTGCGTTTTCAGTGTTTCAGTAGCAAAGGAGACTGTTTTTCTCATTTCCGTGATCTCCAAAACCTGACATGCAACATCCTTATGTATTCTTTGAAGAATTATCTTTCTAACGGTGTATCTTGAGCTCGAATCCGACATCGTTTGCCCCCTCTATCGCATAGAATACGTTAGCACCTTCATTTCTACGTTTTCTGCAGAAATAGTGTAAAGAAATAATTTTTACGCCCTCTTTATTGATATGTTTCAACCTGAAAAATTAATTTTTGTAAACTAAATGAAAACAGCTTTCCAACGCATATTTTTATGTAAATTTTGAACTTCGTTTGAATACCTTACGAAATGAATTACAAAAAATGGTGCAAATCTGAAAAAACTACGTGAACAGAAGTGAAGTTTGATTTTTCTGCACTTTCCTGTGCATGAAAACTTAATTTTTAAAAGTTTATTTTTACCCTTAGGATCTTAGCTTTGTAACAAAATTTGCGGATCGTGATTTGGACATCGTTTGAATCCGTTACACTTAATTTTACAAACATTGCGCAAATCTGAAGTTTTTCTGGTTTTCTGCAATAAGTGCATGGCTGTTTCTAAATTTTTAAAAATACTAGCTCTTGACACCAGAAAGCCCAAGAAAAAGAACCTGCGAACTACCTCACTCACCGAGGTAAGGGGGAGGAGGTATTTCAAGTAAACAGCAAGAAAGGAAATGAATCAAAGAGGGTTGTCCCTTAACCCTGAGGTCTAGAACACATGTATTAGGAGACATGTGGTGTTGGAGTTACATGTTGACATTTTTATATTTACTTGAGACTTTTGATGTTTTAAAATATAATTATGAGTATATTTTGATTTTGACGAATTTTGATTTTTGGTTGAAAATTATTTTACACTTGATGTTTGAGTAAGTATTGCTTTGTGAAAATTGTAAATTATTTTAAGTGAACTATTTAGTCAAAGCTTGTCGAAAACCAAAGATCAATTAAATGAAATGTTTTATCGAAATGTCCAATATGAGTAATATCCCTGGTATATTTGAAAGGATATCTTATGTGTTGTGCTCTTTGAAAATATATGGTTTGGCGCATCTGTTGTGTGAAGCACTAAGAATATGCATATAGGCATATGCAGGGTGAGTGGACACCATTTGTGAACTTGAGCCCTTTGAGAGTGGAAAATGCGTAATGATACGCTGAGAGTAAATTGGTATGTAGGTATATGCGCTCTAAGGAGTTTGGCCATGGTTTCAGCTTTAACCATGGGTTCAATAATTGAATCCAATGACTAAAAGTAAACCTTTGTAAAAACTTTGTTTTCTTTCTTTTTTGAAAATAAATGAGTAGTGTAACTCTAGTCGGGTAATGGTTGGAACTCAAGGAAAGAGACGAAGCTAGTGAGCTTGGAACACTTAGAGAAAGTGCATTGAAGCACGGATATAAGTACTTGCCAAGTGAAACTCCAAAAGTGTGCATGACTATTCAGAAGGCAAATGTGTGCGAAATCACACTCCTCTGTGAAGGAAGTCACGAGGTTATTTTATAACTGCTGTTGGTGAAAGATAGGGAGGACCTCGACGTCTAGAAGATTTAATGGAGTTGGGTGACTTACCAATAGCCCTATGAGTGTCCTAGGCCCCGGAACTCTGGCTGGGAGTCTCCACGCGATGCTCCTTTATCCTGACCTTCTCCTGAGGCTTATCTTGTTGGTCGAGTTAGATCAGTCGGTGGAGCTTAGAGTGCGAAATGTAGGCTGACTAGTGAAACTCCTAACAACTTCCGAACAATAGGATTGTTATGGATCCAGAGTCGCATAAGCATGAAAATAAGATTTTGCCAAATCAAGAATTATCATTTGCATTAATCATGCATCATGTAATTAGACTTGCATTTTGTTAGATTGTAAAAGTTACAATTCTATTAATGTGATGTATGCTCGTACTTACTTTGTTTTATTTCTTTTCTGAAAAATATTTACTTGAAAATATATCTCACTCCTTCTTTTCTTTGTTGAAATATGTTGTGGTGTTGGACATTTTCTTTTAGTTGTCACAGATCTTGAGGATGACCTTTCTCCGTCTTATGCTCCACGTTGAGCTTAATTTGAAGAGGATCCTTCAGATACCAAGGAGATAGAAGAGGACCCTTCCAAGGAATCCTGATCGATGTTTTGTTATTTCTTTTGTTGTCGCTGCTAAGAGACTCCTCTTGTTGTACGGTGGAGAATTCGATACTTTATATTTTATTTAGTAGCTTGGGTGTAATGTACTTTGTTTTGATACTCTGATGTTTGTGGATTGTATTTTAAGATTCTTGGATAAATTGCGGTTACTTTTGATAATTATGAGATTATTTATATAACCAGGTTTATTTTATCAGTTATCTTTTGATTTTTATTTGGATGGAATTAAATAGGCAGAAAAATTGGTTCTTCAATGCATTCAGGTAATGAAGGTGAACTCTGTGGGTTTGTCCCATAAGAGAGTTCTAGTTGAAGTGATAAACCACATGTTGTATCTTATACTATTAGTAATTGGATCATGAGTAGATGAAAAAGATTGGAGTTCACTTGTATAGTTATGTCAATACATGGTATGACTATATTATTCAAGTGATACTTACTAATGTTATGATTTTCTAAACTATGAGTAAATGAAGAAAACAAAATCTCATAAGTAATTATTAGTAATAAGAGTATGACATGAATCTTTATAAACTATTGCTTATTAGGTGCATGAAGAATCAAGATCCATGTCGTGACTGCGTGTCATTTTAAATTATATCAGAAGCAAGTTTCTCAATACTCAAGAATGATAATGGCATCCATAAACCAGGTTGAATAATCCTATGCACTCATGTTTCAAAAAAAAAAAAAAATCCCATTTGGTCCAAGACTCTTAATAGCAATCTGTATACATTACACGTTAAGTTATTTAAAAGTAGTAGGATTGTCGGTCATGGTCGTCATCGCCATTACATATATCACTGAAAAAAAGAAAAATATGAGAAATAAGATAAAAATTCTTTATAATAATAAAGAAAAGTTAATTAATTAATCAACTACAAATGTGTTTAGTATATGGTCACTTCACTGATCACTAGCTATTAGTTAACATTAAACCTCCCTCTAATTACAATCATCTCAATGATCCATGAAAATTGATTTATAAGATGATGGATATGCAAGCATTTATCGTTTAACTAATTTTATAAGTTCTTTTATATAATTTTATTATAAAAGAGTTTTTAATTTATATATATATATATATATATATATATATATTAACATTTAAATAATTAAATATAAAAAAGAATCAAATGCTGAATTGAAACATAAAACAATTTATTTAAAAAAATTATAAAAAATCACACGTAGAATTTTCTTTTTCGGTTTTAGAATATCATAGGCTATATGAAAATGAAGTAAATGTTTGTCTTGCCTCAGAGAATATGCAGAATGAAGTGGTTTGAGGTCAGCAGTTGTAGCTTTCAGTGGTGTGGACTCATTCTCTTTCGTTTTCGATTATTTTATTTTATTTTTAATTTCGTAACCCCGTTTTCTAGTAATTATATAATACATGATGGGGGAGTGTAGAATTTTATGATAAGATTTAGAATGTAAGGGAATGAAAGATAACGTTTCTAAGGTTGAGCTTGGCAGACATTTTATCTCAAATTATATTGTCACTACGTGAATGAGAGAGAGAAGTTTCTAGTCTCCATTCACCTTTTGTCTTGCTTTCTGTACCATATCATGGGGCCCATCACAGAATTGAACCAATTTTTTTCTTTTCTCGTTTGTATTCGTTAATCGAAGTTCATACTAGGTTTAATTGATCTGCATTTATAGTTCTGCTTCACTCTTGTTCCCATTATTTGGTGCTAAAGTCCCTCCCTCATACGGTAAATGTTATTATGGATGATGTGATTTTAAACTGAAACAAAATTTAGGCGCAGAAATATATATAAGTTTTTATTTTTATTAAGTAAAAGTTTTGTTTTAATTATTCACATGGAAAAGATTGATGTTAAATTAAAGAATTATAGAAGTGAATATTTCATTTTAGTAACCACGATTGCAAGTGTAATTTCATGGTTTTTGACGTTTTAACAACTGTATTGTGGATTTGTCTGTTCTTTTTATATGCAATCTCGTAATTTTACCAAGTTTAAACCAAACAGTACGGTTAACAACTACAATACAGTACAGTTATCCAACTAACGAAATCTTGATTTTCTGCTAAAAACTAACGTTTGCTATATGCAAATATTGGTACAGATAAAGTAGGAGAACTTTTTAAAAGAAAATAATAACGATGGAATATTTTGAGTGATAGAAACAGTGGAAGTACGTTTCTGTACCCTTTTTTCACTCTCCTTTCTCGATCAATGCCATAATTACCCGTGACCGTTTTTTCACGTGCATTTTTTTCGTCAATTACAACCTCAAAGACCACGAAGTAGAGGATTGTACTGGACTCAAGATCATGCTCGCTTATCCTTAATACTTGCATCAATGGCCATTGTTTAAGACACTTTCTCAACACTTCCACTTCTGCAAATCTCTCTATCTCTATGAACGCTCTTGCATGCAAAAGCAGCCTTCACTCTCTTCAAACACTTTCTCCACAATAAACATCAAATGTCACTCTTTAACACTTAAGTAGCAAATTTCCTACTGTTTTCTAAGATGGGAGTCTTACGTTTGTTTTTACTCTTTTGGGTTTTGTCAACACTGTGTTCCACTATCAAATGTGGTGGTTCTGATTCTGATGTATATGTGAAATTCTTGAAGGCCCCTCATGCATTCTCTCACTTGAACTCAGCAACATTTGCTTTTGAAATTCTTAATTCTAGTCGTGGCAACCCTTGCTCAAATTGCAGCCTCACTTGCAAGGTTCGTGTGTGTGCTAATTAGTTTGGGAAGTTGGTAAATTAGTTATGGCCCTTAACTTCGCCAGTAACTGAATCATTTTTAATTGTGAGATGTTACTACTTCATGTTATTTGCTTTTATATTTATTTGATGTTCTTTACTAATTTCAAAGGGCTGACACGTTTTTATGCAAGACATACTAATCGAAACTCCACAAGAAATTAAATCACCAACTTTATTCATTTCTATATTAGTATAGCTTGGGTATGTGCAGTTGATTTTCTTAATCTTTATTGGAAATTTGTTTGGGGGGGGGGGGGGTTGGATTATTGATTATCATGTTGTAGCTGACTACTCTGCTATGCTTGTATGTAGCAGTAGAATTGAAGTGTTAGTTCAAGGTGTTAATTTCTATTTTTTTTTCATTGTGGGTGGGGGTTAACAAAAGCTATTCTGATAATTTTACAAAACCATGTATGCAGCTGGATGATGGGATCGCTTCAGTTTGTACAAATAGAAAAGTTACATACAGAAGCTTGCAGGATGGAAATCATACTTTTGAAGTCTGCACCAGACATCAAGGGCTTGGCTGTGCCACCTATGACTGGACTGTTGGTTAAGAAACCATACTTAATTCCTTATGCTTGTTATCAGTTAGTTATCCCTTATGAGATTTGGCCCCTTTTAATTGCTGATGTGTCGTTGATGAATCAAGTCACGGTCATGTGCCTTTGGAATGAAAAAGTTAAATGTAGAGTCTTTTGTGTAAATAATGAAGCATAGAACACAAGAACAAGAATAAAATGGCCTATGTCACAAATGTAATGGCCAAAATCAGTCTTGAGTTGAAAAATAACTGCACCTTAATGAATAACTAGTTTTTGTTAACATCTTGGTCACATCACATGGAAATGAGGGAAAGTACATGTATTGCTTCAAGTACATGTATTGCTTCAATATTCTATCTGAGGGAATTGAGATTCATATAAATTTGTTCATTGAATACATATTTAATGTATCACAGTATTACTTTTTTCAGATACAATTCCCCCAACAGCATATGTTACAGCCTCCACATCTTTCACAAGCTCTTTAAATGTGTCAGTCAACATATCTTTCACTGAACCCTGTATAGGTGGAGGAGGTTTTGGATGCAAATCTGTGAATGCCTGCAATGTAAGTAGGTGTCCGTCTAAAATCACTTAGCTCAAATTTTGATGTCTTTCTTATTATGCATCCATTGCATGATCAACTAAGACCTTTCATATGATTTCCCCCTCTCCCTAATGGAGAGTTGCCTATTCACTTCTGTATCTTGTTTCCTTCAATCGTCATAATTTGCCAAACAACAGATATATTAGGAGTTCTTACTGGCAAAATACATGGTGGGTTTTACACACATGTTTAATCAAAAAGAATTTCTTCCAAGCTGCTTCTGTTGTGATCGTTGAAAATGAAAATTTCTTATTTAGCCAGAAACAATAATATAATGTGGAGAGGGAGCCTGATAAAGTAGTATTGTGTTAACATAATACTGAATCAGTTTTTAACATTCTGCTACTGTATTTCTCTACAGCTTCTTGTCTATGGTGCTGGCCAGGTTGTACCATCTTCCTTTAGCATTTTGCAGCCAAACCTTGTGTATTCTCTTCTCGTTAGTTTGTCCTCTACCGTTCAATATGGCCGGGCAATCCTTGTAATGGATAGGAATTTCTGCACTGACATTGCTGGCAACAGCTTTACAAGAATGCCAAATTCAACTGTTTATATACATTTTGGTGAGTGTTTAACATTTATTATGTCATATTGGTAGATATCGCTTGCAATAACTGATGCATCATTTGTCTGATTACTTTATACACATACAAGTGCGTGTGGTCTTGAGATCGTGGCACAGCTTTGCATTCTTGATTTTTAATCCAATAGAATTTAACAGTGTTATCATGTGAAGATTTTTACGCCTCCAAACATAAGTAAACTTTACTAAGAACAAATTCTATATCAGTTTTTATGTTAAAAAACTTGATTTACTTCTATGGGGGTGTGATCCACAGACAGAAGAAAGGTTTACGTCAACATCAGGACTCGTGTACCAGAAAAGCTACTTCAACTTGACCGAGAAACTAGAACAGTACAAGCCACTAACGAATATAACAGACTAAAGATGTATTTGTACTTCTCAGCTCCAGTTCTAAATTCATCTACAGAAATTTTGAATTCTCTCAACATTAGTCAGGGTTCACTTCTTCCAACTGATATAAACAGTCTTGGAAATCGGAGATTTGGATTCATGGTTAGTTGATTCATGAATAAGATATGTTTTATATAAATACTTATTTCAAGTGTAACTCTTCTGCTTACACTTTTTTTGGCCAACTCTTATTTCAGCTTGTTAATATCTCCTCTACTGCTATAATCTCAGTTGACTTCAATTCAGAGTCTATAATAACCAGACAAGGGACTCAAGTTTCTCCAATTTCATCAGTAACCTTCCTTTATGGTACATGTTATCCACCAACCAACAAGAAAGCATTATTTATATTTATATGCTAATGTTAATATGTATTTGGTTTCATACACTCTTGTCTTGAGAATTTAGAGATTTCTTGCTCTCTGCTGACATAAACCTGTATGGAATTTAGATAATAAGAGGCCTTCCGTGATGTTGAGTACATATAGCATGAGGACAAGAGAACAAAATATCCAGATATTAATCAAATTTGTGAAGCCTGTTTTTGGCTTCAACACCTCTTGCATATCAATTTCTGGGGGATTGCTAAGAAGGTAAGTATTTTGTAGGCGTTCATATGTGAGATATTGTATAGTCTGTAACCATACTAGTGTTTCGATATGTCTGTACTTGTAAATATCTATTTCTCTCAACATGAACATACATCATTTAACAATGGAGTAGTTCACTGATGTTGAATTCTGAGAAAGCCAAATGCCAGCTGATAGTTGATCCTTTCTCTTGCAACTTTTTTTCTGTTTAGTTTCCACAAAATTAAATGGAGCACATACGTTGTTGAGTTACAAGCAGATGATGATCTAGTATTTGTTAGTGTACCTGAGAATGTAACCCGAGATGTTGCTGGAAACAAAAATCTAGCTTCCAATGTTCTACAAGTGAGGCACTGTAAGATATTTTTTATTTTTATTTATTATTTATTTTTGGCTATTGTGTTATTATTAGTACTAATTTATGCTTCTCTGATGATCATGCCTAATCCATATATTGTTTATATTGATTTTCTTTTATTGTTTATTGAATAAAATCGTTTAACAAAATTATTCATAATTGATAACATATTTATGCTTGCATGAATCGTGCAGACTCTGTACCTCTTATCTCTTCTGTGGTTTCTGCATTTGCAACTGCTTCTTTTGTGCTGACATCAATTGCTGCGGGTCTGCTTACCATCTCAACTGCGAGCCTTCAATCTGTCTGTACATTTATGAGATCGTCTTCTTTCTTGATCGTTGATCCATCACGGAATCTTTTTGTGAGATACCTAACTTCAACAAAATGCTAGTTATCACCCCACGAATCTGAGTGCAATTTCTTCATGTTTATGCATGGAGTTGTTTTTTGAATGGAAAAACAGCAATATACGTATAATTGAATATATTGGCTGATAAATATTTGATTTATATTAACTATTTAAATTTTCATTTTCTACGACTAAATAAACTGAAGGTTGCATATGAGACAGTCCTAGACGCCATGCTTATAATAAAGTAGCAAAGAGTATGGATAAGAACCTTGGTGTCGTGGTTAGAGAGCCCAAGCCTTATAAACCCCATATTGGAATCCAATACTTTTAATGTGAGACTCAAGTCTCCATACCTTACAATTGGATCCTAACATCCTACCACGCTCATGGTGGAAGTCTTTGATACCAGTTAATATGAACCTTGGAAGAATCACACCACAGAAGCTAGTTGTAGTTGGAGAGCACAAAGCCTTGCAATTGGATCCTAAGAGAGTATCATAGATTCTTCTTGAAAATTCTTAAATTCAAGGCTAGAGGTCAATGTTTCTTGTAGGAATAGACAGAATGTGCTTCAGAATTTACTTTTCTTGAATTTTGGTTAAAATTAAATTCTTTCTTCCAGTATCTTGACCATTTATGAAAATTACAAAAATACCTTATGTTCTTGTAGTGGTTATGGTGAGATTGGTAACATTGATGAGGTCAATTTTGTCAATCCTGCAGAGAATTATGAGTCATATTCAGGTCTTTGCACTATCTAGATGGTTAGCAGTTACGTTGCCGGTTGAATTTTATGAATTTGCTAGGCATTTGCAATGGACCATACCTTATTTTCCTGTGCCATGGGAAGCTGAACACATGAACTTGTTCATGGTAGGCTCTAGTCCTTTTGGGAGCTTTAACTTCATCACCAAAGCCTCAGCAACAATCCCAAACACACGGTTGAACAAGAATTTGAGTTTTGCTGCTTCAGTTTATGGATCACCACTTACTTCTTTAGAGTACCAGCAATATTTTGAGGTGAAAAAAAGTTAGTAGTGCATAGAAAGTTAATTTATTATCTACTGTGATGAAAAACAGTCAAAATCCTTAATTAAAAGTGCATATTTGCAGAGCCAAAATATGAAACCAGAAGCTGAATATATTTTGGATTCACAACACTACAGTGGGTAAGTTATACATGTTTTAATGCGTTACAATATTATATTTATGAAATTATAGTTTTCATACACCTTTTCTTTCACTCTTTTCAACATACTCTCTAATTAACATCTCTTTTATGCCGCTGTGCTTTCTTAATCTGTAATTTTAACTGAAAATTGTCAACTTAGCAGATGATGTTTTACTTGTCAGCGCATGCTTTACTAACTTTCAAAGAGAGGTGTGAGAACTGAGAAAGGAAGGTTAGAAAATATGTATTGCTGCAAAGACTGACCGATATTGTATGTTTAATAATTAGATTAAATCAGACATTACAAAAAAATGTTAAGTAAAAGAAATGCAAGATGCAGGAAAAAAATGTGATGAATTCATCATTAGTTTATTCATACAGTAATTCAAATTTTATTAAATAGTGTGCATATTGTTTTACATTATTGTGAACTTAATTTTTGTTTTTTATTTACTTAGTTTTTTTCATCTGTGAAAAATAATAGAATGGCATTCCATGAGATAAAATCATAACACGCCCCCCGGTATCAAACTATAATTAACTGGTTAATCTAATAATTCTATGTTCAAATGATTGAGCAATATTTGCTTGCTTATAATCTACTATCAGATTGGTTATTTTTTTCTTACAGATGGACAGAATTTTATAGAAGCATGTTTTGGTTAGCTGTAATCTGTGGTGGTTTACTGGTTCTGCATGCTTTTCTCCTCATAATCCTGAAGTTCGGGAAGAGAAATTCTGAGAAGCGTAGAATACATGGAGCACTCACATTCCCAAGATTTGAGATATTTCTTATATTTCTTGCTCTACCTTGTATTTGCAAGTCCTCTGCCGTCCTTATTCAAGGTAATTGAAATGTTATTATTTGTCACCTAACCATTTTTTTTTTTTTTTTTTGTGATCAATAGTATGTGAAACCAAAAATAAAAATGTGTCAGGTTATTAGACATATGCAGTATATATTAGTTGTTTCAAACCATTAGTGTGGTCAAAGCATGCTATTAGCTAGTTGAGTATTTAGTCTTTGTCCAAACCACCAGGTAGCGGGAGATATTCAGGAAAAATTCTGTTCCACATTCATTTTATCATCCTATTATTTCATCATGTAACCAGTAATTGGTGTTTTGATTATTGCACCATCTCATTATACAAGAGTTAAGTTTGACAAGCTCTCGTATGGATGCTTTTGTTATTGTTCAGTTTAAATTACTAGCTATGAAGAATGCTAGCAAAACAGTCTTTTGAAAACATTCATTGTGATTGATCTGTACTTTAAAAGTTCAAAGCACTTGCCTTGTAAATTGATAACTTTCTAAAAATTGCTTTGTGGTTTTAAAAAAAGAACCAATTAGAAAGAGTGTGTTACTAGCATTCCTCTGTACGATGACTGGGTTTTGAAGTTACCTTTTATTCTATTATATTAACAACAAAGTTTTCATGTGAAATAGACTAGAACTCAAATAGGTTGAAATGTTGAGTAAATCTTTAGTTAGTACTTTTTAAGAAGGAAATGTGTGGTGGAAAATTTAGAATATTACAGGCTTTTCACCATGGGATGACAAAGCATGTTTGTGATCTTGGCGATGCATGGAGAAAAGGTGCATTTTTTTTCCTTTTGAGAGAAAAAAATCTGAACTGATGACAGAAGAGTCTGTACTTCATGTTTTCCTTTGGTTGCGTTGCTGCCCATACTAAATATCTTCCCTTGTATGAGTTGAACCCAAAGATATTCCTATTATTAATCTAATCCTTTCTAATTTGACTACTGCTGGTCTAAATGTGTAGTTATTGACAATATATTTGCTTGTTTGTTGAAAGTCCTCCACACAAGAGAAGATGGGTCTTTATTCTCCATGTTGTGGAAAGGAAAATAGAAAATCTTAAAAACATATGCTTTTGGTCTTTATTGCATGGTTATTTTCATTATCAGAAGTTCAAGACCTCTTTGATGCAATGATTAGGTTGACTTTTTCTCTTTTGGTTGTATGGCCTTAGGGAGAGTTCCTTCAGGAGTGGCAGTTGGCATTCTACTGTTGGTTTTTGTGTGCATTGTGCTTCTAGCTTTGTTCTTGTTCCTCTCAGTTGGAATTACATTTGGAAAACTGCTTCAATACAAGGAAGTTCATCAAGAAGGTGAGACATATCACTGGTATCAAGAGCTTGTAAGAGTAACTCTGGGGCCAGGTAAAAGAGGCCAATGGACATGGAATGAGAAAACTAGGTCTGTTTATCTGACCATCTTTGGCCCACTGTTTGAAGACTTAAGAGGCCCTCCAAAGTACATGCTTTCACAGATATCTGGTGGTGGCATTGGCAATCTTCCAAGTCAAAGAGAGCGCATCATCGCTTCTGATGATGAAACAGAAGATGCAGAGGCACCTTTTATCCAAAAGCTGTTTGGTATTCTTAGAATATACTATGTGCTTCTTGAATCCATAAGGCGCGTCTCGCTCGGAATATTGGCAGGTGCCTTTGTTCAGACTCAATCTTCTAAGACTCCAGTGATCATTATGCTGTCTATGACCTCTTTTCAGCTATTCTTCATGGTGCTAAAGAAGCCATTTATAAAGAAAAAGGTTCAATTAGTTGAGATCATCTCACTCACCTGTGAAGTTGTCTTATTTGCTACTTGTTTGGTGCTTTTGAAGAAGGACTTTTCGGTGAGAACTGAGACTAAATTTGGGATTTTTATGCTAGTGCTGTTCCTAGTGGGGTATTGTGCACAGATCATTAATGAATGGTATGCTTTATATATACAAACAAAGATGCTGGACCATGAGAAAAACACACTTCTAAAAGGTTTGAAAATTGCTTCCATTGGGTTTCTTTTGTACTTCATCCCTCAAAAGTGCATCAAAAACTTGGAAAAGATGCTACCACAAGGGAATGAAGAAACTCAAGACACGTTTTCGAGTGCTGACAGATCCAGGAGCTCAGGTACACCTGATAGACCATGGTTGAAACAACTGAGGGAACTTGCAAAATCTAGCTTCGGTAGGGAAAGAGGTGGAGCTGTAAATGACCCTTCTACTAGTGGCACTACCAGATGGAGTGACTTCTGGGGAACCAAAAGGAGTGGAGGCTCATCTTCTGATTTCAAGTCAAAACCAAGTTCTTTGTACAATGATTTGGAAGCCATTTTTGCATCCAAGTGAAATTATTAAGTCGTAGTTCTGTTTATTATATCTAGATTATTTGTAATGTTTTTTTCAGTGTATTTGCACATTATGGTTGCTCATGCCTTATCATAAAATGTCATCACATTTAACAAATTGGATTTGGATCTTTTCCTTTTAATAAAAAGATATGGTTATATTAGAGAGAAAGACTTGAGTTTTATTGCACAAAAGTTCTTTAAGATATCCATACAAATGGACAAAAAATGAACTATTCCTCACGTCAAAGTGCTAGCTGCAGGAGGTGTATGCTCCTTACTCTTTCCACTCCCTTTGTAACGGTAAGAATTTTTGGAGAAACACTCTCTCTTGCATATTTAATAGGGAGCAGCTATTCGGTATGAATTTCTTTGCACCAAATGCGGTGAAATACTATTTGACCAATCACTAGAATGCAATCACCAAGGAAAGACCACAAATTTGCTTTTCAAATTTTGACCAAGCCCCTCGTTCAAGGAGTGTTTTAATATTATGTGACCTTGATTCGCCTTTGGACTGTCCCTTGACTTGGAAGAATTGAGCTCCACCTTCTAAGTTTACTGCCATTTTCACTTGCTAACTACCTATGAAGCATGTACATTAGTGATGAATGGTCTTCTTATAAGGAAGATGACGCTAGTAAAGCTAAATTTATGAAAGATATATTATTGAATGATATTTGGTGAAACAAAGTTATTATATATAATCTTTCACTAGTCTCATCTACGATGTTTTTAGAAAAATGGATAAGGAAGCTTCATTTTTCCATTTAATGTATGAAATATGGAATTCAATGATTGAAAAAGTCATATAAGAAAGACGGAAAGTAAAGAATCAAACTTTTATAACATTGTGCACTCCATATTAATTGAACGCTGGACAAAGAGTGACATACCTCTCCATTGTTTAGCTCATTCTTTAAACTCAAGGTAATAAATTATATTCATAAATAATATTTTTAATGCTTAAAATTCTTAGTTACATTTCTATAGGTTATTATAATCATTTTTTTTAATATTGTAGATATTATAGTCATGAATGGCTAAGTGAAGATTCTAATAGAGTGACTCTACATTAAGATATGGAACTTATTCATGAAAGGATGAAAATGCTTCAAAAGATGAGTTTGCAAACTTTTCGGATGCAAGAGAAGATTTTGATGATATTGATTCTTTAAGTGATCGAGGCAAGATGGATGCAAAATCTTGATGGCTTGTTCATGATGCTTATGCTCCAATACTTCAAAAGGTTTTTCTTAAACTACTTGAACAACCATATTCTTCTTCATGTTGTGAAAGAAATTAGAGCACTTACTATTTTATTCATTCAATGAAGATAAACAAGATGACACCACTTAGGGTAGAAGATCTAGTGTTTGTTCATAACAACCTCTATCTTCTTTCAAGAAATTCTCCACAATATTAATTGGATCACTAGATGAGGGTGAAATGCTTGAAGTTGCTAATTTGTCACTTGATGAACCATAGTTAGAGATTGTGTTTTTGAATTATGATGACCAAGGAGGTCACAATCCTTATGAGATTTGATTCATTTTATTTTGTGACTTTTTTTTTTTGTAAAGAGACAAATTTTTGCATTGTGAAATTATGCCTCTTAATTTTCTTTGTTAGGGTATCATATGAAAATTAGATTTTTGTCATGTTAATCATGTGTGTGTGTTTATATATATATATATATATATATATATCTATATATATATATAAGCAGTGTTCCAATGTCATATATTTTAGACATCAGCTGTGTGTCTTAGTGTCTGTGTCAAGTCCAAAGCACGTGTCAAAGTGAGTGCTTCGTAGCTAACTACTAACCTTGAGAGTATTGGAATCTTATGTTTCTTAAGAGTGCTTGATGTCTAATTTAAAAAGTTTAATTTTTTTTTCTAGTCGTTTAGGCAATTTTACTTGTTAGAACTTGAGCTTCTAACCTTTGCTTTTCAAATGCACTTGAGCATGAGGTCTAAACTTTACTTTCCAAATTCATTGTGTGACTTTCATTTGTCAACAACCAATCTTGCTAGCATTCTAACTTTATGCTTCCCAAATGTGCTTTAACTTGTGTTTTTGGCTTCAAAAGATCAAATTTTACTTAGTAAATCTTAAGCACCTCAATGTTTTCTTTTTTTGCCATGTCATTTTATCATCTTGATAAATCATGTAATAACAATAAGAACTAATAAGAAACAATGATAAAGAAAAAACAAAACAAAGAGACAAATCTCCTTCAAGGGTTTGGAAGTGCTATGATAAGATCAAAAAGAAAAGAAAATAAAAAAAAGTCTTAAATCAAATGGTGACAACTGTATTCAAAGCACCTCATGACATGAAAGAAGAACATAAGATTGGTCTCTTGCGTCCTAATTGAAGATTGTGAAAATTGAGTCTAATTTCAATTTATGTTAATCTAATCCTTATTTTCATTTGCATTTTAAGCCATAATTTTATATTTTATTTAACAATTAAATAATTTCTTATGTTTTAGATTAGAAGGTTAGACCACATTGGTTATTATTTTTTTTTTTAGGATTTTTATATTTTATGTTTAATGGATTTATTTATATTAGTAACTAAAGTCTCGTTTTTACTTATGTTACAGTAGTGAGTCTGGCTACAGTGGTTACCAAGCTTTTTAAGATTTTACTTTTTATTATAAATACTTATGTAAAATTCTTTTAAGAAATAACTTTAATTTTGAATAAGAATTATATATTAATTCTTAGAGAGAGCTTTTGTGCCTCTTATGATTTTTGAAAAGAATAATTATTTAGATCTTACAAGGGTTTCTTTCACTATATTAATTCTATATTTAGCTTATCATTTTGTGTTCTCTATTAAATTGAGTTTATGACACTTTCTCTTTTTTCTTTTTTTTTCATCATTTTGGTTCTTTTTATTTGTTTGCATTCATAATTGAAATTTTTGTTCAAATTATCATGTGATCATAACTCACAATTTATAAATCTTTTTACATTGTTTTTCATCCTATTTTTTGCTTTAAAATGTCATCTTCTATTTCATTTTAAAAATGTTAAAATCCAATTTTTTTTAGAAAAAGATATACTTTTATTTCAACACAACTTAGTTTTCTTATCTAATTAGACCAACTCAATTTTTTTTTATTAATTCATATAAAATAATATTCATCATCCTTGATCATCCATGCTAATTAATCAAGAAGTTGTCTTAATTAGTAAATTAATCAATAAAAATAAAAATATTTTAGTAACAAATCTTAAATAAGAGAGCATTCAATTAAGAAAGTGTTCCTATAATAGAAGCAACATAGCATCCTCATACTGTAACACTCTTTTTTTATTTACCTACTATTTAATAATTGTTTTAATATTGGGTGGTATTGAGGTATGTTATAAACTGATTGCATAAGTGTTTAGTAGAGTTATAGTATAGGGAGTCTCACTTAAGCGAGACTGAATGCCTAGAACCACATCTTTTCAAGGCAATCTCGCTCAGGTGAGATGAGTCTTGCTCAAGCGAGATAGGATAAATTAAACTCAATTATTACCTTGTCCAAGCGAGAGGTAATCTTACTCAGATGAGCAGTGATCTCGCTCGGACGATAAATTGCTCAGGCGAGGACTCTTAGAAAAAAATGTTCAACCCTCTGGATGTTATCTTACTCAAATAAGCATGACCTCGCTCAAGCAAGAATATCAAAAAATGCTTGGCGAGGCTATTATCTGATGTTCTTGCTCAGGCGAGAATCACGTCGCTCAAGTAAGAAGTTCCTCACTCAAACAAGAGCGCGTAGGACTAAGGGATATTTAAGAGATTTCCAGTATTAAAATTTTATTTTATTCCAAACCTCACATCCCCTCTCAACTTTCTCTAAACTCTCACTTCTTTTTCTCTGATAAAATCCCTCCAAACTCTTATCACTCTGATGATAAGTTTTTTTTTTTGAGGTGTTTAAAAGATTTGTCGCAAATCCTCATCAAAATTTAAACAAATTAATGTAGTACTAGGGTTATCCCAGATTGTCTCCCGTGAACATTGACTATTAATCTTCATTAAACATGTTGAAGGCATTAATTGAACAAACAATTAAAAGGGGGGGTTGTGGTTTCAAATCAAAATAAAGAACAATGAGCAAACAAGTTTAATTAATTCAAACAATAGAAAACAACAATCCTTAATTCATCCACAAAGATTCTATCCTCATTCCACTTAAGATTTAACATTCATCCTCTCTCCCATGAATTAGGTTAATTTAACAAGCGAAAATCAACCTTATGGTCCTAACGAAATTATGCAATTTGTTAGGCTCTAATCTCTCATCCCAAAGTTACGCAACCTTAGAATTAAACCTAGGATTAAACAATCCCTAGTTTAGAATCTCCTTAAAATGAATTAGGGTTAATTAAGCAATCTCTCCCTCATTGACCATTAATTCAATTCAAGAGACAAGGAAGAAGTAATTCATGAGAAGAAAGGAATTATATTATCATTAAAATCAAGGAACTCAAGAATCCATGTGAACTCACCAAGGATTACACAAAATTTAGCCCTCCATAGAAATGGGGGTAAAAAACGAAAGTTGGAAATGCAGAAAACTCATTAACATTAATGTAAAAGCAAGAGAAATGAGAAACCAAACCCTAGGTTGGATCCTTGGCTGTCACCCAAGGTTGCCCTAAGCTCTGAAAAATCGTCCCAATTAAGTAAGGAAGAGAAAAGGTACAAAAAGTGTAAGAACTCCCCACCCTAATTTGGCAAAAATCTATTTATACTAAAACTGGCGCCGCCCAAAGTAATTACTTTCGTTCTTTCATAGTAAACACGCGCAACATCAGTTGGGTTTTTCCTCTCTGGAGTGATTACTATGAATATTCATAGTAACTACGCGCAGCACTGGGACATTTTGGACTCTCTGGAGTTGTCACTATGAATTTTGATAGTAACTACGCGCAACACCTTCAATTCTGCATGCTCTGAAGTGATTACTATGAAAGATCATAGTAACCACGCGCAGGTTTAGTGGATTCTGGGCTGCTGTAGTTGTCACTTTAAGCTTTGAAAGTGATCACTTTGGTCCTTTTGCTGGAAATGACTTGCTGTAGTTGTCACTATCAATCTTGAAAGTAGTTACTTTTACCTCAAATTCCTCAAAATCCAATAATTCT